GAATTTCAGCAAGTACAACTTGCATGACAAGGTACATCACTGAAATTCTGAGTCCAGATCTCCTCTGCATGTGCCCTCCATCACCTCTCCAAACTGATCATTGTGCAGGTATACCCAAACTGCTAATTTTTTTTTTCTGGGAAAAAAGTGGGGTGGGGGGAAGAGTAATGTAAGTAAGAACCACTTATCTGGCCCACAGAACCCAATGAGAAGATAAGGAAACCCATCCTCTATTCAAAAGGTGGATAAACTTATTGTTCTCCAGATACCTTGGACAATGAAAATACATCTTTACTTGCCTTTGTCCCTTAAGGGTCTCTTATGCCATAGGAGGAAGAATAAGAGCATAGCAAACTGGATAGCAAGCAATGGTCTGTGTTTCCTAGCTGGCAATAATTGCATTCCAGACATAGCTCTTCAAAACCTGGAGTAAAAGGGGAGCTTCCTCATTACATGAAATATTCTAGGGTATTTCTCTTTTTCTGCAAGCACCTCTTCATTCCCAGGGAAGAGGTCAGAGAGATTATGCCTTGACTTCCCCTGCTTGTATCATTGCACAGAAAGATATGATGGTCACAAAAGGATCCCTAAAAGGACAACACGGAGCAGGTATCATTTGATCGTAATTTTTCTGCATAACTTTGTTGTTCAAGCTTAAACGTGATTGTATTTCCTATGTGCCAAGACCAGTCAGCCATCTTTAAACCTCAAGGCTCGGTGTATCTCATTCTGCACATAGATGTTACAGGAAAGGGATCCTTCTGCAATTACTTGATTGTGTCTGTTCCATCTATGGGCAAATGAGAAGGGTATACAGTTGTGTAATTAGGGAATCCTCTTCCAATGGTTTCCATGTGAGACATTACAGAAAGCTGCATACTAGCAGTTGATGAATGCTATTCATAACAGTAACCCATGAATGAGAAATCAAATATATATTTCTGCCTGTAACACATTGATTTTCATTTGAAAGTAGATTGATTTAAGCTAAAATTGGCAATAACTCTTCTAAATGAAAATTTTCCAAGCTTGTTCTAGAAATTCATTGTACTATAGAAACATGTTTGGTAACCAGAACCAAGCACATGTTGGTGCTGGAAAGAATATTAAAATAGTTACATTGTTCAGTTTTGCTTTTAAATATTGCACAAATATTTACAGAATCCAAGCAAGAGAAGAGATGGAGAGACAAATAGGCCAGATCACAGAACTGATGCAGATGTTTAGCAGTTGTATCAGGCCACATATCCAGGATACACACCATTACCAGTCACATAAAAGTTATCTGATTAAACACAAAATCCAGTTGCCACTCAACCCATTTGTTATCATTATAATTTCTATACCATTCCCTCCTAAACAGCTCAGGGCTAAGGCATCCTATCTGTACTGCATGCTATGTCTTCTAACCTTCATCTGCCTGAAATCCTGGATGAACACCTCTTTCAGGACTGCCTGTTCTCAAGTGCCACCTCCCACTACCAGCAGAACCTGGATTCTCTCTCTTCAGTGCCCAGCTCTTTCCCCCTGCAAGACTGTGTTCCTTCAGTTGTCCACTATCACGACAATTTTTCTCTCTTTGGATAATTTGTAATGTTTGAACATCCATTTAGAAATGTGAGCATCCAAAAGCAGGCAGGGTATCCCAACAGTGTGAGCGGCATTAATAAGATAAAACAAGACTGCTTTCCTATTCTTCCCAACAGAGCTTAGAGGAAGTATCTTAAATGTATGATCTGGGGAGATCACCTGGCAGTGATCTCCTGGCAGTCCAGGATCCCAGCTTGGCAGCAGACAGGCCATGGTACCCAGTGCAATAATTCAGTTATGAATATATCCACTGCAGTTTTGCTGATATCAAGGCTTTGGATACCCAAAGTCCAAGGGGGCAAAAGCTGTTAGACAAAGTCTCTTGTCACTTGGCTGGCAAAGCTCCATCCAGTGGTCTACAAAGCAGTATTGTCCATCCTAATACCAAAGGGAGGGGCTGTGCTCCACTCTGGCTGGGCCAGTCTCTTTCTCCAGCGCCGTTCACTCCGGATATGCTGCAGTCAACTGATGGAGATTCGGCTGCTGGGCCAAGCACTGTAAGGTCAAGTCTGGGCAAAGGCACTTCGTTCCCATCAGCGAGAGAGCCTGTGGGTCTGGAAAGGGCCGGGACACCCGCAGGTCATGCTAATGGTCAAAGGATAGGAACAAGAGGCCACAGTCAAAGCGTGGTACTCTGGCCATCAGGGGGAACCCCACAGCATGTAATCCCAACAGACAATATAGGCCCTAGGATTGGGCCATGGTTCAAGGATGACTTCTGCTGGACAGGATCTATACTTCTGGTGATAATCTTATATCACACAAAAAATACTAGCTGGTTGGTGGAGTGTAGGTGAGATAAGAGAGGTACCTTCTGTAAAACAACCTTTCCTGCAGCATTAGCACATGTACCTGAAAATAGGTGTTCTTACTCTGGCCCAGTGGAGGAGGGAGCCATGCCAAACAAAGATTGTCTAAACCCTCATATGAAACAATGACTTACATCCAATGTTGTCTTTCCATAAACAGAAATGGGGTGGCATTTCTCGTTAATTACCCCACCTCACCTGCCACATTGCTCTGGGAAAGAAAAAGTCCTTGGTCCAGAATCAAGGAATTCCTCCCCATCAGTTCCATCAGCAGCCTCAATGCCATCAGCTATGAGGACAGAGTCCTTGGAAACTACACAGCAGATGTGTAGGATGACACTGATGCTGCTGATGCAGGAACAAAAGCAAAAAGGGAAAAAATGTGGTAAGGCACCATCCATTCCTTCAGTCTGTAACTCTACACACTCATCAATTTCTTCTACCTTTCTTATCTTTGTGTCTCCCCCATTCTCACAGGCCCCACTATCTCCACTATTGTCTTTTAACCTCATCTCAAAATAGTGCCTCACCTGATTTAACAGAACAGTGAATGTGAGCCTTGGACTCATAGTAGACCCAATCAAAACCAGCCTCCACAGCCAGGCGTGCCAGCATCCCGTACTTGTTGCGGTCCCGGTCAGAGGTGGTGATGTCAACAGCACGACCTTCATAGTGCAGGGACTCCTCTGAGTGGTGTCCATCTTCATCCCAGCCTTCTGTTACACGAAGCTTTACCCCTGGCCACTGGTTCATTACTGAAATTGCTAGGGAGTTTAGGCGGTCCTTACAGCGCTGCAGGGGAAGAACAGCAGAAGAGGAAGAGATTAGCAGCAGCACAGATATCACAATCTGGAAGAAGCATCACTCCATAGTCACAGTCCAAAGTCCTCTGTCTCCATCTGAGACCCAGTGTCACATCCTGGTCAGTGCATATGCAAAACCCTAAGGAAGCGAAGTGGACTCTACCACTTCCAATCACTAAGGAGAGTTCTCTTTAGGAATGCTTGCTTTTAAAATCCAAACTCCTTGAATATCAGGAAGAAAAAGGTGCATTCCATTTTTTTTCAGTTTTCACTTCCAATAATTAAAAAAAAAACATAATGGAGCAATAAGAAAAAAATATGATTCCTTGTCCACAATCTAAAATGATACAGCAGTCAGAATGTGACATTCTCATTCACAACTGAAAATAGTACAGTCTCTTCTATCAGCTTGCAGAGTGCCTCCATCTCATTCTATCCCATATCTAAACTAGACCTTATTCACATGGAATTAGTTTGTAATTCATAAATAAGTTAAACTACCCTTTACTGACTTTAATATAACCTAAAATGCTGACATCTTCATTTCACCCAGATGGCAACTGTGTTAAGTGTTCTAGCTGCAAGTACCTACTGCAAATCCAGTTATCTTACTGTCAAAATGGACCCCTCCCTTCATAGGCAATAGCCCAAGACCGCATCAGAATGACGACATACACAAGATGAGGTCATGACACAAACTCCACCCTTTGTACTTGCAACTTGACATCTGATGTGCATATGTAATTCAGCTTTTGGCTGATGGTGTTATGAACATTTTGCCACTTGCCTCCTCCCCCAAGCAGAAGTTGATGACTTCTTTCAGTTAGCAGTGGAAGAATCACCATTTCTGGGTGGGAGTATCTTGAGAAAGTTATATTGCAGAACATTGAATCACAACATGATTTATGCTATCTAACATTTCAAGACAGAAGAAAAGTAAAGACTATTTGAAGTCCTAGAGATTCATTTCTAAAACTCTATGCAGCTTAGAGTGACTGAACTAGTTTAAAATAAGGTAAAGACTTCTTCCATTTGAGTCAACTTCTGGTAAACCACACAAATAGGTCCATATAGGTTTTGGGGGAGCATACAGAAGTGCCATTGCCTTCTTCCAGGATGCTGCTTTTCTTTTACCTTCCTGATGTAGCTCACAGCCCTGGGATTTCCCAGTACCCTCCCATTCAAGTAATAATCAAGTCCAACTCCCACCCCTCTTATTTTTTTCCAGATCAGCCAAGGACAGTTAGGTGCAGCCACTTGCTATGGGGTAATTCTCCATTTGTGTAGAGGGAAGAGGGAATGGCCTTGAAGGGCAGGAGGAAGAGCCACTCCCAAGGCAACAGTCAGATAAAAGGGGCCTGAACCCAGGTCAAGAAAGTAACATGAGTAAATGTCTCAAACAGGCCCCTCCCAAGTTCACACAAAGTTAAAGGGAGGGAGGGGGAAGCACATTCAGACTTGCAAGATTCTGTTACTATGGCCGTTGCAATAAAAGTAGTTTTAGATCCATATGGCACTGGTTTCTTAGTCTAGTCTACTTTATAGGGCTCATGATTAGTCATCTGTGTACTATCCACATGTCTATAGCCATTAGCACATTTCTACTCCTTTTAATCTACTTGAAAATTTACCATTAAATAATATTTTATCAATACTTTCTATCAAAATGTGTACTTCCAAATGAACAGAGTGACAGAATTAATTTGCCATAGCAAAGAGGCCTGTTGCACCTGGAAGACTAGCATATTTATGTTTGGAATTACATCCTGGAATTATATTTATGAGATGCCTAATATGTAATCCTAAATTAGCAGACACAGAGCACACACGCTTTGTTCGTGGGAGTGAATAACAGAGAGGACAAGGTCAGGAGGAAAAAATATGTCACAGTGATAATTATGCACTTGCAACATAATTACTATGACAAGTAACAAATCAGTACTGGTTCTAACAAAAAACTAATTAACATATGTGTTGTTAAAAATGTGTAATTACAGTTCAAGCCATAGATGTTAAAACAGAATTTTCTGATTAACTTCTCTTCAATAGCTTCATGAGGGAATCTTCCTTCCAAATTCAACAATGCTGGCCTTAAGGATCTTGTAAATACATATTTCTCAAAATTCATATTTCTACGTATATTTTATATTATTCCCATATAAACTTCAAAATGTATTTGGTGGGAGGGTGGGGGTGGGGTGAGCTAAGAATTCATGCACCAATATATTTGGGAAGTGCAAAAGCTAGTGAAAACCAAGTTCCTATTTGTCCCATTCACAAAAATTCCTCAAGCCTCTCTAATCCTGCCCTCTCACAGGGCTGTGTAAAACACTAAATTTAAAACATTTCAAGATCAAAAGCCTGTCTGAATCAAGCCTGAAACAGCAGCTGTGTTCTGAGAAGTTGTCTTATTCTCAGAAAAAAACCCCTGGTTTTGTTCTAAGTTAGACTGTTTTGTTTGTTCCAAGAGTTTCAAGTTCTGTGATTGGCTTGGTATCAAACTCTCCCCCCTTTCCCCAGCACAGCCAGTAAGTAGCAGGGACTGGTTCCAACAGTGCTTTCAGCCAAGACTGAGTGGAAGGAGAAGGAGATGGAGCAAAGAAGCTGCAGTTACTTAAGTACATATATCAATATCTAAAGCATTATAAGATGTTGCTTCAGTTTAAACATAACTGATCACAGGAGCCTGTGACCATTAGGTTAAGAGTGTTCCCAGCCCCATTCTAAAACCAACATCAGGAAAACTATAGTAAAGAAAGAAACAATGAGAACTGACACATCAAATGGGCCCAGATATAGTTCAGAGAATCTTTCCCACTGGCCACTGCTAAGGGACAATAGAAAAGATGTTGACTGGATTTAATCCACATTTTAAAAAGCAACTGCAGAATTTTACAGTCTGTCTTCTGGGCAAACGGCAAGACCTCTGTCACCTTCAGGTTGGACACCCATCTTAGCTAATGGTGTTAGCAAGCCTAGATTGCATTCCTTTCCTTGCTCCTTGTTTATAAAATTGGAATGGTGAAAACTCTACCAAAAAGCATACAGGAAATGAAGGAAAGGACTGTAAAACACAGCTCCTTTTTTCCCCCTTTAGCCTTATGGGGACCTTACAACCCATCAAGTGCTGCTAGACTACAATCACCATAGCCCCAATCAGCCTAGCTAGTCGTAAGGGATAATCAGAGTTGTAGCTTAACCATCCCAGGAGGGCCACAGTTTCCCCAAGTGTTTACAGGCATTTTTAGACCAAGACTTTACAAGTTCATGCTTGTGGGATCTACTTTGTTTTTTACTAGAATCTAGAAGCCCACTCCAAATTTTACTTGCAAAATAATGGAATGCTAAATGATCAGTTACTCTTTGCACTCCATGAGTCATACAGTGGAGACGTGAACTGAAATACTCATCTTAGGTACTACTGTACGGAACTATATCTGTAGCACAAAACTCTCAGTCTGAGAGTTGCTGAGTTACATAACGGCTTGGGCAAAGGTACTTGATATTTCTATTTCACAGATGACTGACACCTGAACAAAAAGATAAGTGACTACAAGGCCAGTTATGGCAGCAAAGGCTTTGTTTTTGTTTCATGAACATGTACTTGATGACGTTGCTGAATGATCCCTGGAAGTCAAAAATTCTTCCTGATCTATTGCAAATCACTGAGTGACCTTCCAGTAGACCATTTTTACATACTCCTGTTTTAGGCTGAAAGAATTCCAGAAAAGTATAGCTGTTGCTTCAGCAAAATTCTGGGGCTACCAGATTGCAGGAGGACCCGTTACCCACAACTTGCCTCAACTTTCCTTGCAGGTTCTTCTACATGCTTTAGTGGCTTTCTATATGCTTTAAGAGCTGCAATGGGGTTGGGTTTGTTGGGGGGACCATTCCTATTTCTTTAAGAGCTCAGTCTGTTTCTCAGCAGAGTTTTGTGACAGATCGGAAGCCCCACTAAAGGCAGCATTGTATTTATTGTTTTTTTCTTTACCAGGTTGTTGTGGTTGTTCAGATTTTTTTTTCTTGGGGTGCCACAAAGTCTGGGCTTAGGCCACTGTCCTGTACAAATAAGCGTGGTTCACTGTTCACTTTTGAAAATGTAATGCACAGTTATACCCAGGCAAATGTTTGTTAAAGACACTGTCTCTCTTCGTTTTGTTTTGTTTTGCAAAGTTGAATATACTTTGCATACCAGCCTGCATCATTACTTCAGAATCTCAGGGATCCTATTCTGATATCAAGAATTAGAAGTATACATATAACCTGTATAAGAGAGCTTATATATCATGCTTCCTTATTCCTGCCCAGACCACAAACCCTTAACCTCCCTTATATACTGTCTCGCCTCTTTGCATCATCCCAAGGGTTTTCAAACACTACAGTACCCTAAAATGATAAATGCATTTCTATGGAAACTAATGAATTAATTATTTCATTAGGGTTAGGACTGGGCAAGAAATAATTATACTATTATATCATACCATTCTTCTAATAATCAAATTTTAATCTATACCTCAATACAACAATGATAAAAACAAGTAACTTTATAAGCGAAAATCTTTTCCTTGGAAGTACACAATAAGATAATCTAATTTAATACCATACTTTAAAGGAAAAGATGAACTTGCTTAGTTTTACACATTTCCTGAAATACAGCTTTTAGGTTTGAGATAGCCTCATTTCTCACTCCTCCTTGATTTTAAATCAATATTTGCTCTTTATAGCAGCAGCCGTAGAAAATCTTGATTTTGTTGCTGGCTTGCCAGGCCAAGCAGGATGAGTTCTGACAGTGGTCAAGCTTTGCATGTGGAAGCCATCAAGCTTGCTTAGGCAAAGCTAGTGTCCTATCACAACGTGCGCCAGGATTTCCTCTCTGCTTCGCATACACCAGCTAAAGGCTGGCTTGTCCAGGCAGAGTGGGAGTGAGTTCTGGCGGCAACACGGCTTTGGATGTACAAATGAAGAGGCGTCAGCAAGTCCCAGCACTTT